ATCTTAGTCACCTCAAGGAGGGAAGGGGCAAAGGACTGCCAAGCATCTACTGCATAAGTAGACAGCTGTAACCTCTGGGTAAGAAAATGGGACTGGGTGCGGCATGAGGGAAATGTCCACATTTTATTCAATATTCAAAACATAGTATTGCTTACACTTTTTTTTAACAGGAATGCCTTCTTGTTTTATCTGTGCAAACAGCAAAATAAAAGCATGAAGGGGAACTGACCAAAGTTTTATTTAGTTTTTACAGAAATAGGATCATAGTGCATGTATTATCCAGCAACTTGCTTTGTCACCTAGTGTCCTAGTGATCTGTCCATGACTACGCATTTAGGGCTACTTATTCCTGTCCGACTGCTGCACACCATTTCACATATCAGTACTGTGTATCCACAGACCCTTTCTGCTAATGATGTGCACTTAGGGAGACTGACTAATTAAAAGGGTATCTGTCTGTATTAGGCTGTCCTTGCATTGCTATAAAGAAATACTGGAGACTGGGTAATTTATAAAGAAAAGTGGTTTAATTGGCTCACAGTTCTGCTGGCTGTACAGGAAGCATAGTGCTGGTATCTGCTCAGCTTCCAGGGAGGCCTCAGGAAACGTGAAATCATAGTGAAAGGCAAAGGGAGAGCAGGAGCGAGAGTGAGGTGAGCGGGGAGGTGCTACACAATTTTCTTTTCTTTTTTTTTTTTTTTTTTTTTTTTTGAGACAGAGTCTCACTCTGTTGCCCAGGCTGGAGTGCAGTGGTGCAATCTTGGCTCACTGCAACCTGCGCCTCCCAGGTTCCCGCCATTCTCCTGCCTCAGCCTCCTGATTAGCTGGGACTACAGGTGCCTACCACCACACCGGGCTGATTTTTGTAATTTTAGTAGAGACAGGGTTTCACCTTGTTAGCCAGGATGGTCTCAATTTCCTGACCTCGTGATCCGCCCACCTCAGTCTCCCAAAGTGCTGGGATTACAGGTGGGAGCCACTGCGCCCGGTCTGCTACAAAATTTTCAACCACCAGATCTCGCGAGAATCACTCACTATCCTGAGGACAAGTACCAAGAGGGATGGTGATAACTATTCATGAGAAAACTGCCGCCATGAGCCAATCGCCTGGCACCAGGCCCCACCTCCAACACTGGGGGTTAAGACTGATAATGAGATTTGGGTGGGAACACAGATCCAAACCATATGGCTGTCCATTCTTAGAACATACTGTCAAATGTTCTTCCAAGAACGCTGTGCATGAGGGATTCGTTTTTCTCTCCATACATGATCACCATCAAAGGCTAAGCCACTATCATCCTTTCTAGCTGGGAGTCTAGCTATAGTCTCCAAACTGTTTAAAATGTACTTTCCACAATGCCTGAACAACTTTTAAAAAGACCAAATATAAGCACGTCAGTCCTCTCCTTAAAATCTCAGTAGCTTCCCTGTCCTTTGGGATAAACTCTAAAATCTTTACATGTCTCCCAAGACCCTGCTGTCATCTGGTTCTTGCCTATCTTTCCAGACTCAATCCCTACCATCCTTGTCTCCTTCCCCTACCCCAATTATTTCTGTAAAAACAGTCTTCGAATGGAGGCATGCATATCCCTGAGAATATGGACACATGTGGTCATGAGCAGTTTCAAGGGATTCAGTTTTTCAGATCCCAACTCTTCTAAAAGTTATCTGACTGAGGACTCCTGGAGTCCAGGCCCACCCGGCACTTCACAATGGCTCCTCTCCCACCTGGTACATCCCAAATCTTACTACATGGTGCTGCCCTGCTGAGGTAGAAAGGTATAATAACCCTAAGGACACCAACAGAGAAAATTTATTTTAATGAAGGGACCATTAAGAGATGCATTTCTAGTAAAACTTTTTTTTTTTTTTTTTGCCTACAGTTCCTTGTCAGATTTTGTGAAACACATTGATTACACTGTGTATTGCTAATAATAGTAATAGTTCAATCCAGAAGAAAATTTGCTTCTTAGAACCCTAATGATACAGTCTGATCAATACAAAACTTTAAAGGATAGAGCATATTCACTTACGATAGAATCCTGTGGTAGAATTGAAATAAAAATATTTTCAGGGAGAAAAATGATCAATGCAAAATTTTCAACTGGTCAAAGGCTTCAGTATTTTTGAAATGAACGATGGGGTGGATATTAAATCACTATAGTATTTATAACTCACTGCATACATTTAAACATTTTCTGTAATCACTTTATCTTCAAAACCTCATTCACAACTCATCACAACTTCTTTCGTAACTACTTAAATTTATAATTAAAAGCCTTTTAAAATTTATCATTAAAAGCCCCCCATCCCTTTTTCTTGAGACAGGGTCTTTCTCTTTCACTCAGGCTGGATTGCAGTGACGCGATCATGGCTCATAGCAGCTTTGAACTCCTGGGCTCAAGCAATCCTCCCAACTCAGCCTCCTGGGTAGCTGGGGCTACAGGCATGAACAATCACATCCAGCTAATTAAAAAGTATATATTTGTAGAGATGGAGATCTCACTCTACAAATCGCTTAAGTGATCCTTCCTCCTTGGCCTCCTAAAGTGCTGGAATTACAAGTATTATCATGCCCAGCTGATAAAAACATTTAACTATCAATTTAAGAATGTGTGATAGGAATACACAGCATTCTTTCAAGGGGCATCTCAACAAATTTTTAAAAGAACATTGTGGCCCACTCCAGTGCTAAGCATGAGAATATGGTGTTTTCTCAGCTTCAGGCGTTCAAATGTGCCATTCTCCCGTGGAAGGCCCACTAAGACCCTCAAGCTTCACCTGAAATACCATTTCGCCTGAGAAGCCTTCCTTGTCTCCAGACTAAATTAGATTGCCTTGATATATGCTCCCATAGAACCACGAATGTCCCCTTTTCATCCCACAGGGAACTCCTTGTTAAATGTTGTACAAGGAAGGCATAGACAGACTTCACCTTTCACTGTTCCACTGGTGCCCAGCAGGGTATGCAGAGGAGGAAGTCGGCTGTGCTCTGAAAGAAGCACTACTCCAGTAGAGGGGTGGAAAAGGTCATCAGACTGCAAGGGCTCAACAAAAGTACAAGGTAAGGAGGCAGAGGGTGTAGGCTGATCAACTAAGAGGTATGCACTGAAAAGGGAGAAAAAAACAGAAAAACAGAGCCGGGTAGTGGCAGAAAGAGAGGGTGGATCTGTGACTGTTCACAGGAAGAGAGGAGTGGGAGCAGCACAGAGAATAACTGGTAAGTCAGGAGCTGGGTTTGGAGATAAAGAGGGAGCAAGAGAAAGTTCTGTGTTTTCATGCCAAACATTGAACAAAACTTTACAACTTGGTGATTAACACCTGGGGTGATTCACAGTAACAAATTTACACGTAAACACATATTTATTGACTTTGTACATAGCAAGCCTAACATGAACACAGAACCTGCTTTATCTTTTCACACATTGTTCTAGTGTAGGGATGTCTGGTCTCCGTTAAAGAAAGCATAAGGAGCATTAGTTGTGCACATTGTCCACACCCGTGACTTTTTCCCTCCGGTACTAAACCTAGTGCTTCTTACAGTACAGGGCAATGGCAGCCACAGAAAGGGAGAGAAGTTCTTTGTACTGTGTAATGCTTCCTGCTGGCCTTCAAATACTTGTTACTTGAGAGATCTCTATTCACCTGGCTTTGTCCCCAAAGGTCACCATCTACCAATGATGTTGTAACTTGATGTTAATCATGTATAAAGAAAGTAGCTACCATCCTGGCCCAGATTAGAACTTTCCACTGAAATGCCGTCCTGCCTAAAGGTAGCACGGGCTTCCATTATGGTGGTGGTGGGGGGGTGGAATATATATATATATGGTAAAGCATTTGACATTCTTTTAAAGTACAACTATCCTTGAAAAGGGTTACATATTAAACCATTTTTACTGCAGCCAAAGAGGGGGAGAAAGATCCAGAAGGCCTGTGGATCTGCTTTAACATCAATAAAACAGCTATCCAGCCTTCCTAGCTTTTAGTGAAGGCTACAAAAGTATGTATTTTATGGATTCTACATGTGCACGCAAGTACTTTTTACTACAAAAAAAAAAAAAAAAAAAAAACAAGGCTCCTTATTTAAAAAAAAAAAAATCAGAAACAAGTCCAACAGGCTCTGAGGAAATGAAGCAAGAGTGAATTCTGAAAAGGTCTAATAAACAGTATGGAAATATCCTTGTGGGGTGGTTCTTCTGCTATGCATAAACATGTAATTATCATCATTACTGTGATGGGAAAAACAGGGACCCTAATTCTGAAACACCCTGGTAGAGAGAGACGAGCAGGAGGGGCTGCTGCGCACTCAAAGGGGAGGCTGAGGAGGCGGCGTCCCCTTGCTAAGGACTGGCAGTGAGCAGACGGGGACACCCGAGCTGCCCTTCGACCTGGGCCCAGGTGCCTGCAAGACTGGGACCTCTGATAACCCTAACACCCCCTTTCTCACTGCTCTGATTGTGTACATCCCGGCGCCCAGGGGCCTGTGAGCAGGAGGTGCGCGTTCCAGGCACCCCCAGCGCCCCTTAAACCTGCCCGCGCGCACGTCCGGCCGAGGGAGCAGGACGAGTCACCCGAACCCTCGTCCAGCCCGCACCCACCTTCACCTAGCTCCGCCAGTCGCCACCTCCCTTCCAGCGTCCGCAGCCGGCCCAGCTGGGGAGCATGCGCAGTGGCCTGAGCTGGTTTTGCCCGCGCTCCCGGTAGGTAGCTGTACTTTAACTGTCGGCCCAAATCAACCAATCAAGAGACGTGTTATTGCCGCCGACGGGTACCTATGGCAACGTATGACCAATCAGAAGGCGCGTTATTGCCGCGGAGCCCCTCCCCCGGCGGGGGGGATGTGGCGATGGGTGAGGGTCATGGGGTGTGAGCATCCCTGAGCTGTGGATCCGGGAGGGCCGCGGCTTCGCTTGCCTTGCAGCCGCGAGCAGCGCACGCAGCCCCGCACTCGCCTACCCGGCCCCCGGCGGCGGCGCGGCCCATGCGGCTGGGGGCGGAGGCTGGGAGCGGGTGGCGGGCGCGGCGGCCCGGGCCCGGGCGGTGATTGGCCGCCTGCTGGCCGCGACTGAGGCCCCGGCGGCGGGCGGGGAGCGCAGGCGGAGCCCGCTGCTGCGGAGCAAAGAAGATGCTGCTGTCCCTGGTACTCCACACGTACTCCATGCGCTACCTGCTGCCCAGCGTCGTGCTCCTGGGCACGGCGCCCACCTACGTGCTGGCCTGGGGGGTCTGGCGGCTGCTCTCCGCCTTCCTGCCCGCCCGCTTCTACCAGGCGCTGGACGACCGGCTCTACTGCGTCTACCAGAGCATGGTGCTCTTCTTCTTCGAGAATTACACCGGGGTCCAGGTGAGCCGCCTACCGCTCCCAGGTCTCGGCGTCCACCCGAGCTCCCGGAGGCGTGGACCCCTCCGGTCCCCACCAGCTGGCGAGGGTCACCCGGCCGGCCCGGCGGACCCAGCACGTAGAGCACGTGCCGCCTCCCCGCCTTCCTCTCCGCGTGCTTCCTGCCGGTCTGCCGAGATCTCTCTCTAGGAAGCTGTGGCCGCGTCGTCCTGAGGCTACAAGTGGGACCCGCCGCCCCTTTCCCCGCCCCTCGCCTGGGTCCGATGCTACTTAGAAAAGTGGGTGCAGATGCACGTTTTAAATAGGGCACGCGTTTAGCAGTTTCTGGCCTTTGGGCCAAAGAGGTGGTCATGTTGGAACAGATCGGAGACGTCTACACTCCGAAGTGCGCTTTTACAATGACCTCTTGAAACAGAAGTACAATTCGGTCTTGTGTTCTTCCCCCAGGACAAGTGAAAGCTGGGCGAGGAAATAAATACATTTGTTACGGTAGAAACCTAACTAGATACAATTCTTGCCAACTTTAACTGGGTTTAAATGTGTGGGTGATCTGTTGTCTGATTACTTTCTTTCTGTTACTGTTTCTCTGTAGAGATTGGATTCGTAGATTAAACTTGAGAAACAAACCATAAAAGTAGAAGGCCCTCTTTAACAGTAGGTATTTGAAGTCTTATAAGAAATAACAAATGTGAATTTTTCTTTCATTTCTCAATTTGAAAGAACAGCTTTATTCTTGGTTATTCCTAATGTCCACTTAGTCCTCTTTTACTTTTCTTGGTAGGGTTAGGGTGGGATGGGGAAAATGGGACGGTATCATTTTGTCTTTTTAACTTTTTTTTCCCACCTGCAGCAGCTGTTTTTACCCTGTGGTCAGTCAGCTACTATATTTAGTTTGCAGTTGCACTGCTGATCGACCCTTGATGGTCCCAGTTGGAAGTTGTTTGGGGGGAAGGAATTAGGAGAGGCCAGGGCCTCCATTTAAACCAGTATCTGTAAATGTCTCCTTGGAAAGAAAAGAAGATACTATTCCAGATCATGGTTTCCTGGAAATTGACATTTAAAATGAGCCTCACTTAAAAATTTCAATAATTCAGGCTAATTTTTTCCCTTTGTATGGTAACTCCACCAAGTTTGTCTAAATGTCTGAGTTTTATCATGATTAAGTTTTTACTTTCACGTCATATGACAACTGGCCTGGGTTGGGATATAATCTCAGAACACAAAGTCATTCACTCTTAAAAAAATAATTCTATCTGTGGCGGGTTAGGTTATTTTTGTTCTAAGAGTACACAATATGATGCAGAATACACCATTGAAGGATTTTTTGGTTTGGCAAGTTCTTATGTTTTTAAATGGCTGTAAAACCTAGCAGTGTTTCTGAAATTACATACCTTACCTTATATACTGCTGACTTCAGAGCTCCAATTTACTTCTTGATTTCCCAGCAAGTGATTTTGAAAACATTTAATCTAATCATTTCCCCCCCGCCCCATTCAAATCAAAGGAACTAGCGTCCAGCACTAATTTTCATGCACTTATGAAAGGATGCCTGACTTAAGTATAATTCAAAATTTTGTTTAATGTGTGTTCCTTGATGAAGTTCTTTAGGAATCCTAGAACTAACTGATTGCCCACTGATCCTCAAATGCAAGTTATGAACATTTAATACAAATTTAAAAGCAAGAGTTTCTTATTCCTGCATTTTTATTTTTATTGTTTGGAGGGGACAAATAATTATTTTCTGTTTACTAACAGAGAGCAGGGTATTTTGAATTTATTAGGGTCTTTTTCTGGAATCTGGGTTTCCTGTGTACACAAAGCTACCTTTCAATATTTTTGTTTGTTTCTTTTAAGATTAAACCAATAGAGGAATAAATAGCTATCTTCAAACATAAGACCCAAGGGAAAAAGATTTATAGTGACGTTCTGTCACCATATTTTTTACCTGTGACTTTGTACCATTAACTTTGTCACTGAGATGTTTTGATTAAAATTTTTAGCTTGCTTTTCTTGTTTTGTTAGGATACTCTTTTTTTCTTGAATTGTTTTTATCACCTTTCGTTTGCAAGGCTAGTGATGATTCTCTTGTTCTGCATAAAGTATTGTTGACTCATTTCTGAAGGGAGTTTTAGTAATTTAAGAGGTTATAAGTTTTTAAATAAAAAGTTTATTAATTTATATATATTAAAGAGACATTTTAAAATAAAAATTTTTTTAATGACATTTTTATGCCTTTCAACTCTAGGTTTAAAAAATAAGTGGTTCATAGTAGTTCTTGCAGAAGAATATTTTCTTTTACATAGAATTTTTAAGCTGAAGAGAAGTAGTAGTAGGTCCATGAGATTTATGATCTGTGCTTGGCAGGTAAACCTGCTTCCAACAAGTTTACTTGAATTTTCCTTGGATTCTGGACCTTTTTCTTCCCTAATTTCACTACTTTATTTTCATATGTATCTCTGAGATAGAGAAATATTTCAGTCAGTGCTGCTAAAATTGTTCCTTACAACTCGTTTATCCTTTTAGGTCCTTCCAAAATCTCTCATTGGTGCTGAAACTCAAATGGGTACTTTCTTCACCATTTATATCTTTAGAATGAGTAATAAGAATTTTTAAAGTTTTTTTATATTTCACCTAATTTGATACTCATTGAAAATCAACTGAAATTTCTCTACTATGTTGAGAGGCATTGATTCAAGTTACTTTTGAATCAATGTTACTTTCCTGTGCTGCCAAAACAGATCACCTCAAACCAATGGCTTAAGAAACTTAATTTCTCGTGATTCTGGAGGCCAGCAGTTTGAAATCAAGGTGTAGGCTCAGTTGTACTCCCTCTGGAGGCCCTAGAGGGGAATCTGTTCTGTGGCTTTCAGCTTCTGGTGACTGAACCTCTGCCTTACAGTCCTTGCTGCCACCTCTTCTGCCTCACATCTCACTCTGCCTTTCTCTTAGAAGGGTGCTTGTCATTGGGTTTAGAGCCCACCTGGATAATCCAGGATGATCTCTTCATCTCAAGATCCTTAATTTAATTGTAACTGCAAAGAGCCTTTTTCCAAATAAGAAAACATTCACAGGTTCCAGGGCTTAGGATGTGGACACATTTTTTGAGGGATTGCCCTTCAACCCACCACAATAATGAAATCCATAGTTCTGCCTATTCAGTATTTTGTAGTTATTTCTTAGTTTAACTTGCCTTATTTCTTTAGGTATTTATATGTTAATGCATTTTGGTCTCTGCTTTCTTTAACAGAGAACCTGGTTTTCTGTAGTAAGTTTACTTACTTTCCCATAATCTTTTAGTTTCTTATTTACAGATTTACTTTCACATATCCCTTAAGTAGAACATTTGATTAACTGTTTTATTTTCAGAACAAATCTGTATTCTATGTAATAACCAACTTATTCATATTTTGGTATTCTTTTAATTCTTAACTAATTCTGATATTACCATCTTGTGATTATATATATGTATTCTTGTGATTATATACATATATTCTGAAATTACCATCTTGTGATTATATATGTATTCTTGTGATTATATACATATATTCTGAAATTACCATCTTGTGATTATATATTATGTATCATATGTAATCATATATATCATATATAATATATATCATGTAATCATACATATATCATATATGATATATATAATCACAAGATGGTAGTTTCAGAATCAATAAAGAATTAACTGATACATATATCATATGATATATGTAATCACAAGACGGTAATTTCAGAATCAGTTAAGAATTGACATATATATCATATATATGATATATGTGGAAATAACTGAAATCTTGATAAAGGTAATTTCACTTCTAAGACTGTTAATTGTGTATGATGTGGTGAGTATACTGGTATTTGGTTTGTTTACCACTTAAAAGCCCTGTCTGTAGAATAGGAAGTAACTTGAATGTGGAATGCTTAGAGACTCAGAATAAGAGGCCATTGTATATTCTTGAGCTGGAGTTTAAGGAAATCTTACGTGAGATTAAAAGGAAAGCTGGAGTACTGGCAGAGGAGTAGATGGGACTCATGAAAAAGGAATGAAGTTACCTTAAATTCTATCATCGTGAGTTAAAGTGAAACTAGATTTATCTTAGTTTATAGCCTAGAATTCTATCCTAGGAATCTAGATATATCCTAAATGTTGGGATAGCTGCATAAACAACAATTGTAATAGTTATGATCAATAATGGAAAATATTTTTAGCATGTTTTGTGAAGCTGATAAAAGTTAATAGAATGTCTTCAGATGTCAGAATTCTTTTTTCTTTGCTTCCTTTTAAAAAAATTTCTTTTCCCCATTCCTATGCAATACACTGAAAACTGATCATTGAAATTTGTAGGCCAAAAAATTATCAACACATAATAGATTGGGGTTTGGGTTTTGTTGAGTCGGGGTCTTTTTCTGTCACCCAGGCTCTAGTGCAGCGGCACCATCATGGCTCATTGCAGCCTTGAATGCCTGGGTTCAAGCAGTCCTCCCGAGCAGCTGCCGTGCCATTATTTCTAGCTAATTTTTAAAAGTTTTTGTAGAAATGGGGTCTTGCTATGTTGCCCAAGCTGGTCTTGAATTCCTGGCCTCAGGTGATCCTTCTGCCTTGGCCTCCCAAAGTGCTGGGATTACAGGTGTGAGCCACCATGCCCAGCCCCTAATAAATATTTTAATTGCCAATTTATCTTGCTTAAATCAGTTGGTAACACTTGGAATTTTCTTCAGAATATATTTTACATTAGTGGCTCTGACTGCTAATCCCCCCTTCCCCAAATGCTAATGTAACGTAACAAAATGCACAGTTCTTAAGTTTATATAAAATAAACTCAGGTTTTCAGTTGACCTGCTTTAAGTGTAAAATAGTTTGAAAAACACAAGAAAGAAGATAAAGAATTTAAGATTTTGACATTTCTCTAATATGCCCTTAACTTCTCCAAGGAGTCATACTTTTTTTTGTGAGACAGAATCTCACACTGTTGCCCAAACTAGAGTGCAGTGGTGCA